GACTGTCATCATCACTGTAGAAAAGTATTGGCAATGGTTTTATGGTAAGTTTCGGTTTGTCGTCTTCTGTTTTAATGGCCATTGACGGTTTGCTATTGATTTCTTTCGGAACCGGAGCCAGAGAAATTTGTTCGGCTTTTCCCACTTCTTCGATGCGTTCTTTTCCGTTAGAATCGTTGTCGTAATAATTATATTCGCCGTAAATGTTGGGGCCTTTTGTGCATAACGGCTTTCCTTCTTTTGTCTCTTCTGCAACAAGATTATTTATTTCTTCTCTTACCAAATGTATATTTAGGTAGTCCCCATTATCAATCTTTTCGTTGTCATCGTAAAAATCCATTCGTTCTTCACCGAGTGCTTCATTGGTGGGGGCGGATTCGACCTCTGAATTTCCTCCATCATCTTGTTCCTCAAATTGAGGACTTGCCGGCGGGAAAAACTTCACAATATTACCTTCTAAGCAGCGAATCTGTTTTAGATTATCAGCATTAAGTCCCTCTCTTAAATTTGTCAGTTGTTTGGGCAGGTCATCTCTCTCAGCTTCGACGACTTGCCGCGCTCCTTCCAAACTAGCTAATTTTTCATTCATATTTTCTAACTTGGTTTCCAGATGTCGCACTTGACCTTTATGAACACGATATTTCTCTTCCAATTCTTCATCCTTGGCCCGCATGTTTTCTTCATGTTGGGCGAGCAGATATTTTTCGTGGGCCTTCGCATTTCTCAATATCCGTTCACTTTTTTCAACTTCGATTTTTATTTGAGAACGCAGTTTGATTACTTGCCCCTGCAGAGATTGTAAATTGTGTTCATAGGCTCGCATTTGTCCGTGCAAACCATCTTCCAATTCTCTGTCGTAATCTTCCTTTTTTTCTACGTAGTTTAATTGTCTGCTTTCTTCCAATTGTTCTTCCCAAGTTGAATAGTCACATTTTACGGAGAGCATCCATCCTAATGGAGGTTTCATCGACTCTTCGATTTCATCATCGATGTACATATCTGTGGATTTCCGACTCCGAGTTGTTAGAAGTTTCATTGCCGACAGTAAACACATATCCACCTCACATGGTAATGCATTCATATGGCTTGGAAGATATTTTTGGTATATCCTCAAGTACCGTCGTAACTGGTAATATGTATTTTCTACCAGTACTTTCCATGCCTCGACGTGTTTCACTTTTTCAAAGGTTGACGTCGACGTTAACACCTCGAAATAGTCTGCCAAAGTGGTGACAGCTTCTTCTATGTCTTTGAACATTTTTGAATGAATTTAAAATTTTTTAGATGGGACTCTTTGTCCTCTTTTCAAAACTATGTATATATATTTTTTTTTTTTTTTATTTATTTGGGACTTCTGTTGTCCTCTTTTCGTTTTATTTTTATTTTTGCCCCTATGGCTTTTTTTTTTTTGTTTTTGCCCTATGGCTTTTTTTTTTTTTTTTATTTTGCCCCTATGGCTTTTTTTTTTTTTATTTTGCCCCTATGGCTTTTTTATTCAAATTAGTCCCTTCGGCTATTTCAAAATGCCCCTATGGTCTTATATTTAAAATGCCTTAACGGACTTTGTTTTGTGTAGAAATTCTCCTCTATTTCTGGAGAATATCTATTTCTGCTTGTAGTGAGTCTCTTACCACTGGTGGGGGAAAACTCCTACAATTTTTTTACGGCCGCTAGTTATTTCCACTTTATAAAAAAGTGAAGGCTCGATTGACCATATGTTAGCGGGAGAAGAGAAAACACGACCGTATCGTCTGGCTGTTGTTTCAATTCTAATTTTATTTTTAAAATATGTTCCTTACGTACTACTGAAACTAATCTAACTTAACCTAGTCGCAGCCACACAATTGTTCTTATCTATTATTAGATTTAAAAGAAACATTGCATGGGTGCTTGTCCCTTCATTCAAGTGGTCTTGGCTATCCACTGTACGCATCGATACTGTGTGTGTGGGTCATGACCTTTATTATCTTACACATTATCGTATGCGACAGCGCACAAGATCACTTAATTCTACACATGTGATATTTTATGACCGCTGGGAAACTGATAATTTGGAAATATTTATTTTTAATTGTTGGATTTTCCCAGCGCTTCAATCTCACTCAAAAGTATGTACAAAGTATTTTGTACAATAAGAGTTAAAATTATTAAAAATGTTGACACTTTGTCTGGGAGGTACTTGATGGAGTGGACCGATACTGTCCATTTGCGCATCTGACCTAGCACTGATGTAAATATTAGGATTTGCAAAGTTGGAGCGAAATTGGAGCATCTTTTGCCTTTCTGTGCAGTAAAATATTTTTTTGGAAGATACCAGAAGGAGTAGACCGATATTGTCCATCTCCGAACTCGATCTAAGTTTGATGATAATATTACGAGGTACCAAGTTTGGTCCAAATCGGATACTCCCTTGAGAGCCAGCCAGGCAGACGGACGGACGGACATCGCTAGATCGACTCCAAATGTCCAAAGAGACCTGTAGTGCGATTATCTAACTCATTTTTGAGTTACCGGCAAAAGTCGGTAACTTTGAACCACAAATTTTTTAATATAAACAAATAAAAAAGCTGTAAGTTCGGTTAGATCGAATTTGGCAATTCTCAACAATAAAATCCGTTAAAAATTCTGTTAAAATCTTAAAAATACCGAATGTAGCTGTTATATTAGTGTCTATACGACGACAAGGTACTGCATAGGTAAATTTTGTCATAAACCATTTCAATATTCAAATGCAACAAAAAAATCGGTGAATAATGAAGCTAAAACCATCAAAATACCGAATATCGGGAGGTACCGTTATATGGGGCTATAAGAAAACATGGACCTGCACAGACAATTTTCTATCTTAGGCTGTAGTATACATTACAAACTTCAAATACCAAATTTGAAACAATTCCGGCATCTTATGTCGCTAAAATCGTCAAAAACCGAATATCGGGAGGAGGACGGGAGGACCTGCACAGACAATTTTCTGTCTAAGGCTGTGGTATCCATTACGAACTTCAAATACCAAATTTGAAACAATTTCGGTGAGTAATGTCGCTAAAATCATCAAAATACCGAATATCGTGAGGTATCTAGATATAAAAGTTTGACAGAACAATTTGCCAAAATTTTAAAGCTATACGTCAAATAATATGGGCTGTTTCGTGATTTCAACAGACAGACGGACATCGTAAAATCGACTTAGAATTTTATGCTGATAATGAATATATATACTTTATGGGGTCTACGACGAATATTTATGGATGTTACAAACAGAATGACAATGTTAATATACCCTCCTTTTTAAGGTGGAGGGTATAAAAAGAAGTTAACGTTGATAACATTAGTATCTATCGGTAGGTCTTAGCGACTACTTTGATTTCGTCGCTAACTTACCGACAAATTTTGGTAATTACCGAAATTATTAGCATGAGCTCTAAAAATGAGTTAGAGAATTCCACTACTGGGTTCTAAAACCGTTATTTCGATAAGGCACGTTTTGGCCTATCAAATGATATATACCCTCTCTAACCATATGCCTGAGAGTATAATAATGCATCTTCTTATGTATTATTTTTCAAAAATGAAATTGGCAAATATAATTTTAAGTTTTTTTTTATTATTGTTCCAATTAAAGGCCTGCACAAGACGAATTATATGAATTATGCTTTTTTCGACGCACTGACTTTGTCTACTCAATCATGCGCTATGTATTTGAAAAGCAATGACAACCAACAACATCCCCCATTTTGATTCATGTGTGCCATTGTCTAAGGTTCGATCGTGGCATGGCTGACTCGAATATTTGCATGCACTGCCTTTACACGGTGCAATTTTTAGCTGGCATTTTTTATCAATTCTCTTTTAAAATTTCTGCGTAAATCTTCGCGCCTTTACACGGTGGCATTTTATGACATTAGTGCTTGGCATTTTTTCTGACATTTTATTTTATTCAGTATTTTGTATAGAGCTGTATTTTTGTGCTAAATGTTTGTAACAGATATTTATAAAGTGATTTAAAATTAATTAATTAATTTTAAATTAATTAATTAATCTAAATAAGAAATGATGGAAAAAGTTATTGTCGATCTGGTCCACATATTTATTAAAATTATTGACTTATTGACTATTTTAACTTTCTTTTTTTTACTTTTTAAAACTTCCAATTAATTTTCATATAATTCACTATACAATTCAATCACTAAACACATCACAATAAAAGAAACGCATCAAAAATTACACTGCCTTTACACGGTGACATTTTTTAACCATGCCATTTTTGTTTGTTGGTAAAAGGTGTAGAGAGACAAGGATAGAAGAAAAAATGGCACGATGAGCCACCGCACAGGGTTACATGCCATTTTCTTTGCATTTCTCTTTTTGCTTCTTCCGAATTTTTTATAATTTTGACATTTCATATCGCTTCTTTATTGTTATTTTTAATGCGTTTCTTTTATTGTGATGTTTTTAGTGATTGAATTATATGAAAATTAATTGGAAGTATTAAAAAGTAAAAAAAGAAAGTTAAAATAAAAGTTAATAATGCAATATTTAACACCTCAATAACTTTTTCCATCATTTCTTCTTTAGATTCACACACTTAATTTTAAATCACTTCTTTATAAATATCTGTTACAAACAATTAGCTCTATACGAAATACTGAATAAAATAAAATGTCAGAAAAAATGCCAAGCACTATTATCGTAAAATGCCACCGTGTAAAGGCGCGAAGATTTACGCAGAAATTTTAAAAGAGAATTGATAAAAATGCCAGCTAAAAATTGCACCGTGTAAAGGCGGTGTTACAATAAAGAAACGATATGAAATGTAAAAATCATAAAAAATTCGGAAGAAGCAAAAAGAGAAATGCAAAGAAAATGGCATGTAACCCTGTGCGGTGGCTTATCGTGCCATTTTTTCTTCCATCCTTGTCTCTCTACACATTTTACCAACAAAAAAAAATGGCATGGTTAAAAAATGTCACCGTGTAAAGACAGTGATGGTGTTCTCGAAAAATGCAGGGTGTCAACGATGACATCGAACCGTGTCATCGTCAAATTGTGTGTCATTTGTGTACGTGTGCTTAAATTGAGAGAGTGTGTGTGTGTTACTTTCGACGGTGAGGATGTGTTTTTGTGTGTGCTGTAATTTTGAAGTAACAAACACGGCGTAAATATAAAATAGAGTTCAATAACAAAATGTGCATAGACATCAACAAATGAATAGAAAAATTATATATATTATGAACAATTCCAATTTATTGGTGATTATCATAAAATGTTGGTCATAAAAAAGAGGTAAATATTGTTTGCCTATTTTCTATCTACATATAGTGTTATTTTAAAATTAAAGTTTGTAGGCGGAGATTTGACTCTCATTCAATAACAGAATATGAACAGAATTGAACAATGGAAGTATATAGTGTTGTTACGTGAATTACAGTAGCACTCACTCTCATTTACACCTCAATACCGGAGGCAAACATTTATGAAATTATAATCAAAATAAGAACATTTTTCAGGGGATTATTGTTTTTTTTTTTTTTCTAATAAGGATTAACAATAACCACGAAATGAAAATTTTGTGTAGACCAATTATTCGCCAAGAAATTCTTTATTGCAAAAAAAATATTTTTTCACATATCGGAAAAACAGGTAGCGACTGCGCTTTGCATTCATCACGTGTGTGTCTTTTTCGTTGGCAATTGTTTCATAATTGTTGTTGTTTTTTTGATAGAACATTTTTGCCTGACACACTATTCAACATTCTCTTTTATTGGTCATTACATGTTATGACGATGGGTTTGAGTGTGACCGACATGACGAGACATCGAGCATTTAGTTGGATGTCACGTACTGTTATGTGTTTGATCAAACAGGGCACAACACGACGAGCGTTTTTTCTCCATGGCATAAAGAGAGAAAATTGTCACATTTGCAGTCCTTTAGTTCCAATGCAAAATGTAATGAACGCCTTTGGAGAAACAATTGTGACTTTGGAGTGTACAGCTGTACTTATTTAGTACTCAGTGATGCTCTCCATTAGTATGTAGATTCCTCACCGGATTTAAAATAAATCCGTCCGTGAGAGGATCTATTTTTGTATGGTAAATATGGTTGCATGGCAGAACTAAGAAGGTAAAGTCATGCAATAAAATGTTTACAATTTTTTCAATTTTTTTCCTTTGACAACATCTTATTATCAGAATCCATATTCATATATCCATGGTAGAATTACAAGGTAACCCTTTCAGGCCAGCTGGTATCAATTTGATACGTCAAAAAATTGTTGTAATATGAATTCGCCTTCATGTACACATAAGAAAATTGTTGCATGATTTCAAACTTTAACAATGCTATTGATAGAAAATCGAGATTTTACGTTTTTATAGAATATGAGGGAAAAAGTGTATATTCAACATATGGTAGGCATAGGTAATATGGAGATCTAAAATTCGTGGATATTTGAAATAAGTGAAACAGGGAATCAATTTCACATAGGAAATAAACCGATACATGGAATTTCATCATCTTATTTGTACGGATTTTCAACTATGTTATACACTATAGGGGTTCAACAGTGAAAGGTGAATGATTCCAAAGCATATTGGATTGGTTTGGGTAACAAAATATTGGCAATTTTTGGGGTGTGATTAAATATTGAGATAATTTTTTTATTTCAAATTGTTCGAATGTATTAATGTTATCTATGCTTAAAAGACTTCCTGTCTGCTATACATTTCATAGCTGAGCAAATAATATGCCTGGACTAACAGTAGACTCAGCCCCCTGTATCTTCTGCAATCTTTGATCCAAATCTTAAGTAAGCCTGAGGAGTAAATATACCCTAAAGTACCTTTTAGGTAGCATGTCACTACAGCGAGAAAGCTGACGATGTAGCAAAAGAAAAAAGGGTACACCCCAGAACCACCACAAAACCTAATTTTAAAGCATCAAAAATAATTTTCCGGATATTTTCTTGTAAAGAACATTATCGCTGTTTAATATGAAATCAACGTTGCCAACGTTACCAAGACTGCATGCTGTGTAAGGATGATGAAGAGATAACAACGATTGACATCTATTATCGCAAATGTCCTTCGTTGGCGCGCTGGAGACTACAATCACTCCATTTCCAGTCTCTGTGATTTTCAAAAATGTTGTATTGAACGTGCTATAATCAAACCAAGATGCAGCGGCTTCAGCATTACTTTCAATCGATGTTGGAAGTTTTGAATATTTGCTTTTGTAATAGAAAAAACAACAATTTTGAAAGTATTTAATTCAATATTTTGATTGGAAAAATAATTTGCCCCAAATTTTGTACTTCAAATCAATTCGCCCTGACTACAACTTTGACATATCAAGTTTCCAAAAAAAGTTGCTTTGTTGTAATTTTCGCCTATGTTGCTACCTGGTATTTCTACCATGCATAAATCCATAGTATATACACAAAATCGGAGATGGGAACTGTTTTCTATGCAGTGAAATTTGACAAGGTAAATTAAAAAAAATGCAGAGATGGGAATGCTTATTTGAAATGAGGTTACCTTAATTTCATTGTACAATGCATGGTTAAATAAATTCGGATTTAGCGATAAATCCTGATCATGTGGGTTAATCCGTAAAAAATTTTGTAGCTAAATATCTTTATCTATCGTACTCACCACGGTAGAAGAATAAAGGTGGATGCATCAACGCTTGGGAACATTGATATGTCAAAAATTTTAAAATGTTTTGACGAAAATATGTAGATTTTTATATGTTTTCTTATACGACACAAATCGGTGGTTGTTATAATAATGCATATCAATATAAGTTACTTTTTACAAATTTCAATAGTTTTTCAATAAAAATTTTCATTTCTAAATTTCGATTCATTGTCCCAGCAGCTGTGATGATGCGACTACCTGCATTCTTCTACTACGGTAATCACCTATTTAAAGGGAAAAAAAGTTAATACCATGTTCTCACTCAGATTTGAATCGCATTGATCTTGTCAAGCCTTATTGGATACATTTCTTATTGTGTATATCGAATACAATATTTGGAGATATTACAACATTTAGGTCAATGAATCTAATTACCCCTTACTTCCATGTGGTAAATGGTTAATACTGAGAATTAAAACAAGTAATAAATATTAATTACTTTAATTTTATGAATAACAATTTGCACTGCAATGTACATATAAATATCATAAATCATTTGTTTGTAAAACAGAATCAAGTTTTATGTTTGGCCGCTTCTTTATGACTTTTGTAATATTTAAAGATCATTTCAGTTTGGGTAATAACTCGCATTTTATAACATCGATCAAAGCGGGCGGATAATTACAAATAAATAAATAATTGGGAATGTTTACAAAAGCGTGTATTCGTGGCATGGCATTAATTGCTGGAACTAAAATTTTACATCACGACAAAGATGAATACAATCAGCTGGGCCTGGATTGTATACGACAAGTTTATGATCTTTTGATTTCGGGCGAATGGCGATTGGATAAGCAATCATCAAATGGTGATACTGTCAGCAGTTTACAACATCAGAGATTGGGAAAAGTTTATAAATTAAGAGTGGGTAAAGTTATTAAAACTTCAAAAATATTTTCTTAAATGTTAAAATATTCTTGAATACAGTGTCGTGTAAAATATCCGGCCAAGGCATTGGGAAATTCGTTGCTCTATGACGTTCAGGATGTGCCGAAATGGAATCCCACCGTATTGGAATCTTTTAAGATCAAGGTAAGATAATATAAACCACATTCTCGATACTACATCAATGCATTTGAAATTATTTCAGACTCTGAGCGATTGCAGTGATATCACCTACCATGTATCGGCTGCCCATGCTGGTGGTTTAATCAAGTCTCGGGATTTTGTTAATTTCCGATATTATCGTCTAATGGTTGATGGAAAACTAAGTAATGAAAACTTCCAATTGAATCCAAATGAAAAGGGAATTGTTAGAATATGTTCTGCAAACCAAATTTTTCATAGAAAATCGGAAAAGGATAATTCAAAAATATTACACTACAATACCTTGCAAAATTTTGCTATTTCTCATGATAATCGCTTGGAAGTGAAAAATAAAACAGATGGTGTTGTTCACTTGCCTATTCCAATGATGTTATACGAAGACAAAGAAAATAACATTCCATTCATTCAAAATAATTTCAGTGTATCAGTGGGAGACACATTTCGTGTTGGGCGCCGTGTATGGATTGGAGCGGGCTGTAGCATAGAACTCAAAGAGTTTCCTGTCAATACCAAATATATTAGAGGACATAATTTCCTGTCAGCCTTCGTTATGCATGAAATTGAAGGCAATCCAGATGAGTGTATATTTGAGTGGATTATATGCGTTGATCTTAAAGGGAGTTTACCAGGTTATATTGTGGATAAGGTAAGATATAAGTATTTCCCGATACTCTTCAGATTGAACTTTACTTTCATTTCAGGGATTCATGGCCACAATGAATGACTTTGCAAAATATCTGCGAAAATATATCAATGATTTACACCGAAAAAATCAAGAATCTCTACCAGAAAAAGTGGACTAACAGAAGGAAAATGCATTTTTTAGAATTAAATTAAGTTTTAAATTAGGAAGTAAAAATATGTTAAGATAATTAACGCTGATTGCTTTTTTCGTTTAGTAGAACCTTTTGGTAAAGCAATAACAATTGTTTGTAAATAGATAAAAAATAGAATAAAAATCATAAAAACTGTGTTCCAGTACGCGAAAAACAAGGTAAAAAAGAATTTCCACTTGATTTATATAGAAAGTCGGTACATGTGAGAAATACATTCTGACCCGTTCTTATACATATATACCCTCAGCCATATGGCTAGAGAGGGTATTAATCATTTGATACGGCCAAAACGTGCCTCATCGAAAAAACGGTTATAGGTTCTAGGTATCTTTGGGCCAAATCCGTTTCAAGACATTTGGAGTCGATCTGGCGATGTCCGGCTGGCTAAAGTATCCGATTTGGTCCAAACTTGGTACATCGTAATATTATTATCAAACTTAGATCGAGTTCTTAGATGGATAATATCGGTCTTCTAAAACCACCCACAAAAGGTCGACATTTTCAAAAAATAGGATATGATAGGAGAGAGGATAATCCGATCCAGCTTTGCAATTTCTAATATTTGCATCAGTGCTATGTCAGGTGCGAAAATGGACAATATCGGTCCACTCCTCCTAGTAGCTCATAAAACGTGAAATTAACATCCGATTCCATTCAGACTTGGCACAATAATATTTCTGCCAATACAAGATCTGTTATAAAGATGGTAGAGATCGGACCATTCCTTGTGGTACTTCTCCCACAAAGGGTCAAAATTCTGAATAACCAAAAACGATCATATAATCCGAAATAAACTTCTGGTTCTTTTCAAATTAAATACATAGCAATATTTTTATTAATCCGAGGTCTGGTGTGATGATGGAATATATTGGACCACTCCTTCTGCTACCTTCCCCTAAAAACGTAAAAATTTTGAATATTTATGAAGCTCATAAAACAAGTCCAATTTCATTCAGACTTGGCACATCTCTATATTTCCATCAACACAAGATCTGTTATAAAGATGGTAGAGATCGGACCATTCCTTCTGGTACCTCCTCCATTAAAAGGTCAAAGTTATGAATAACCAAAACGATTATAAAATCCGAAATAAGCATCCGGTTCTCTTCATATTTCATACATTTTATTATTTCTACTAACACAAGATATGCTGTGAAGATGGAATATATCGGTCGACTCCTTCTGGTAACTCCACCACAAAGGATCAACATTTTCAACAACCATGAACTTCATAATACGCGAAATTAACATCCGATTCCATTCGGACTTGACACATCTCAATATTTTTATCAACACAAGATCTGTTATAAATATGGTAGTGATCGGACCATTCCTTCTGGTAGCTTCCCCACTTAGAGTTCAAATTTTGAAAAACAAAACGCTCAAATAAACCAAAAATAAGCATCCAACTCTCTTCAAATTTGAATATGGTTGGATGATTATTTTAAAGATGATATATATCTGCCAACCCCTTCTGGTACCTCACCCACAAAGGGTCACAATTTTAAATACTTTTATTTGACATAACTTGCGAAACAAGCCAGCGATTCTTTACAACTTGCTATATCCAAATATTTCTCTCAACAAGAAACCTGAGATGAATATGGAATTTATAATTTCGCATAAAATTGGATATAAATGTTCGAGTTTCTTGTAATTTTGCCCAATCTGTATTAGATGAAGTGTGAAAATGCAATACCTCGGTCGACTATATCTTGTCGCTCACGTAAATTTTAAAATATTCTAAAATGTATCACATATAAAGTGAAAGAAGAAGATTGTGTCGACTATACCAAGCCTGGCACGTCGCAATATTTATATCATATTTATTTAGATCCGATACGAAATTGACAATATTGGCCCATTTCTTCGGAACTTACTCCATAGAGGGTTAACAATTTGAATAATAATAACATAAGTCAAAATATATTTTAATAATATATTTGAATTGGCTGAGGGTATACATCTGCCGGCAAAACCGACTGGCTTTTAAGTTATCTGTATCATAAGCTAGTAAAAAACCTTTTTTGTATCTGCACCTTAAGCCAGTGAAAAAAAAAACTTAATTGCATCTGTACCTTTAGGAACAAATGAGTTTTACTAACAAGACTTTAATGGTCAACATTAATTGAACGCTCATTACGCTACCTTTGACTGGACAACAACGTGTGCATGGACTGATGAGGTCCATATTTATGTTTACGGTTCCGAAAAGATAATATAACATTTCACAGCTTCCAGATTTGTTTGGTATTTTACGTTTGGTATTTTGCCATGCTCGTTTTCACTGTATTTCATTGTCGATATGGGAGGTTGTTAAATTTAAAGCATACTTTCAGGCTTGTGATTTATTGAAACATAGGGATGTCAATGATGGATTTTATTCAGTTGCTGTTAGTGGAAATTGTTGTGATTTTTTATACCCTCTGCCATACATAGTATCTAACTAAAATTTTAAGACGATTTACCTCTGTCCCTCCGTCTGTTGTAATCACGCTAGAGGTAAAACGAATTAAGATAAAAAATTAACTAAAATTTTGCACTGATCAATTTTTTCTCCACTATATCGTATTGCCCCCATATAACGGTACCTCCCTATATTCGGTTTATTGATTATTTTAGCCACATTTTTCAAGGGAATGGTCTGAAAATCTACACAAAGAGTTCCTTCTGAGTACTTTACCTCCTGGAAGAATTGTTTATATAAGTCTACGATATCGTATAGCCCCATACATCGGTACCCCTCGATATTCGATATTTTGATGATTTTTCCGACATTTTTTACTGGAATGGTTTCAAATTTCGTATTTGAAACTCGTAATGGGTACTACAACTTATGACGGAAAATTGCCTATATAGGTCCACGTCTTCATATAGCTCACATATAACGGTACCTACCTTTATTCGGTATTTTGATATTAATAATAGTTTCTAGTTTGATGATATTAGCGATATTTTTTTTGACGGAATTGTTTCAAATTTCGTAATTAAAGATCGCAGGGGTACAATAGCCTATGACAAAAAATACTTATGCAGCACCACGTCTTCGTAAAGCCCCTATGTTCCCTTTTTCCGACGGATATTTTTTGGAAAATGTTATTTTTGCAATTTTCTTCGATATCACAAAGGGAAAATCGGTTATTGCATCGGATCGTTAGCTGTTGGATCTTATGAGGACTTTCTGGTGCATTAATTTTTTTTAAATTTTATTAATTACACTTATCCGATATTTATCTAATAAATCCACTGTTTCAATCTACAGGAAACCAATTACTTAAGCATTCATTCCAAGATCAATGACTCTAATCATCGCCATATCACAGAATTTGATTTGAATAGAAAATGAAGTATCGGCTAAAATGGGAGAAGAAAATATACAAGTATCCGTATCTGACAAGAGGATGTAAAACACTTCATTTGGATTTTTAACATGGTAAGGGTCACAAAGATCGCAAGAAATAAAAAAACGAAATTGTCGCACAATTACAACTTTAATTTTAGGATGAAGAATATCATCGCCAGGCCTTGGAGTGTATACGGAGAACCTATGGCTTCCTATGTGACAATGATTGGAAATTGGAAAAGGTGACAAAACGTGGGGAACGGATCAGTAGTATTTATCGTGAGGGATATGGAAAGATCTATAAATTAACGGTGGGTAATGGGAGTGAGTAAAAAGGAATCCTTGTTCAAATAATACTTTTTTTTTCAAATATTAAATAGTGTAGCTTAAAATATCCCGCAAAAGCTTTGTGCTATGAAATTTATCACAATATTGAAAAGGTGCCCACATGGAATCCCACAATGTTGGAATCGAAAATAATTAAGGTACAGCTAAAAATATGTATTAAACTGTTGTATTTTGAGAAAATTACAACTTGTTTTCATTTAATTTCAGAAAATCAATTCCTATACCGAAATTGGCAAACAGGCCATGTGTAGTGGCACCGGTGGTCTTATACAAAATCGAGATTTTGTCCATTTATGTTGTTGGCGTCTTTTGGTAAATGGCGAAATTTGTGATCACACCAATGATAGCCTGGACGAATCGATTGCCCTCAGTGAAGACATCCTCCACAGCGAGCAGTATTACAAGAAAAATGGTCGTGTGTGGTTTAATACGGCCGTCAGTATAGAATACGAACATGCTCCGCCGGTTTCTAAATATGTACGTGGTGAAAATCTGGCCTCTGGATTTGCTGCCTGCGAAGTAGAGGATCATCCGGATGTTTGTATATTTGAATGGATTTTGTGTTTGGATTTAAAAGGTTATGTGCCGCGTTACATATTGGATAAGGTACATTGTAATTATTTTGAATAATTTTTTAAATGTATGATTAATTTTACATAATTTTCTAGTCTTACACAACTTTTATGTCGGAGTATATGAAACATTTTCACAAACACGTAGATGAATTGCGACAAAATCATTTAAATAAATAATTTAATAAGAAAAGTTTTGTTTTGTGTTAAAATCAATTGATCGTGAATTTACACAAGGGAAAATGGCTGAACCGTATAATTTTTAAAATTCCGCATTTACTGCCAATTATCTGCCAGAGAAGGATATGCCTATAACGAACTCCAAACACCAAGTTTAAGATAATTTCATACAAAAACAAGTAAACAAATATTATGTTCGGCCGTGCTGATTTTAAATACCCTCCATCATTGGGTATATAAAACAAGTAAGACAATGTGATACCCTACAACACTATAATATGTTTGGAGTCCCCTTATATCCAAATCCATTTTGGAAGATTTTGTTTTTGAAATAATGTCGAAGAGCCCCACCTAGAGGTTACCCTTAGGAGAATTTGGCCAATATTTACGCACTCCGTAGTGTTGTTAAGTATTCAAAACAATTTCACACGAAAGTTGTGGTATATTTTACAGCTAAATATAATCCAATGGTCATCCAAAATGCTAAATTTCTTCTCTGTCCTTAACTCTCTTCTAATCTCTTCAATTGTGGTCTATAGAGCGACTACAAAATTAGTTTTGCCTTATTAAGGCGAAGATCATATGTTTTATGATTTTAAGTGTTTGTTTTCTCTTTCGAGACGAGCTTAATGATCTGAAATTTGCAGTGAAAAGGAAAGCCAGATAGACACTATCACACACTCACCACTATGCGACGCGTTTCGCCGTTGGTTAAGCGGCTCATCAGGCATATTTGATGTGGATGATGGCTTACAAGGGCCGTTCTCTGGAAAGTAGTATATATTTCGAACTTATTGCAAATTAGCATATGCGAATTATACACTAGAAACTCTCCAGGTTCGACTCAAGTTCTATTGGCAGATCTTTTTCACAGCAACGTTTTTGTTTTTGTAGTGATGGATTTTTTGTCCACAACAACTACATTGCTTCCAATGCATACACTTGTTTTAGTGCTGCTTTAGGAAGACGGGTTAATGGCTCTGAACGTAGAGACGGCAACTTCTAGTTGGCTGCACACAGAGGTCCGCGGTTCAAATCCCACAGCCAGGCTCGGCTGAATAAAATAAAATTGGAAATATTTGCGGTTTAGTGGACATTTTCCTATTTTCTTACATAAAAGTTAGGCTCTTTTTTACCCGCTAATTATTGTCCGATGGCCGCCCAAATTGGTAGGTTTCTGCCTACTCTAACTCCACGTAAATTTTCGCGTCGATTGATTCATAATTGTGGCCTATAGAGCAACTGCAAAATCAGGAATTTTTTCTGTTTTTGGTCCATTTCAACCCCTAAATATTATGCGATCATCTCCAAAAGAAATAGGGTTCTATTCTGGCTCTAGACCCACCTCCATTCTAAATTTCGTGTAGATTGGGCCATAATTGCGAGCTGTAGAGTGATTACAATTTAACATGGACAGACGGACAGACGGACGGACGGACATACATAGCTAGATCGACTCAGCTCGGCGAGGTAGGAAGATCCATATATACTTTCCTATGTGGGAAACCAATATTTCGTGGTGTTACATAATTTTTGGCCCAATCAAACTTATAATACACCCAACACATAGTGTTGTAGGGTATAAAAATAAATAAAGAATAAAATAAAGTGTGAGAGAGTAAAGAGGGGCCCTACCAAAAAGGGTACCAATGTAGACAGTTTTATATTACAATGATTGTTATCTATTGGGAAAATTAAATGTCAAGTTTGGAAACATTCCGTGGGTAAATGTGACAAGGATTATCAAAATACCGAATATCAGTGGGTACTGTTATATGGCGGCTATAGGAAAACATGGACTTAGATATTCAATGTTCTCCACCGGATCTAGAACACATTACGACTTATATTAACCAATTATTAGAAAAATTATTGGAAAATGTGGCAAAAATCATCAAAATTACGAATATCGGGAGGTACCGTTATATAGGGGTTATACGAAAACGTGGACCTATACATACAATGTTCCGCCACCGTAGCTAGAAGCCATTATGACCTACAAATATCAATTTTTAGACAAATCCGGGAAAAATGTGGCAAAAATATCAAATATTGGGAGTTACCATATTATGGAGGCCATATACCAAAACGTGGACAAACGTGGATCTAGAACCCATTATGAATTATATACCAATTTTTAGACAAATCCTTGAGAAAATGTGGCGAAAATCATCAAAATACCGAATATAGGGAGGTATCGTTATTTGGCGGCTATACCAAAACTTGGATCGAAAAAATTGTTGTGTCAAATTTAAAGCTCTACATCACACAATGTGACGGACATCGCTAAATCGACTTAGACAAAGTAAATATACCCTTCTTTTCAGGGTGGACGGTATAATGAAGCTAAAATCATCAATATACCGAATATAGGGAGAAACCGTTGTATGGGGGCTACATCCGGATACATTTATTTAAAAATGTTTTTTATCTAATGGGGCGAGTATTGAATGCCCGGCCCTGTTGAACTCAATATTTTTTAATACAGACTGAAGCTAGAATCTTGAAATTTTGCACTAGGGTTAGTCTTGGTGCGTGGGCGTGTGACAAGGCTGGGTTTTTTGGAAATTCGTACTATAAGGATACGAAAAGTACTAAAAATTGTACTAAATGGTACTAAATTTAGCATAGACTGCTTTAGGGTGAACGGATAAGGCTGAAAGATTTTGAAATTTTGTATTGGGGTCCCTGTTGATAGTAGGTTTGTGATAAAAAGGTGGTTTTGGAAATGTGTACTTCAAGGGCACGGAAAGTACTAAATAGTACTATATTTGGTACAATTTGGTATTGAGTGAATATATAATGCTTTAAATCTGAAATTTGGTATTAGGTTCGCTGTCCATGTGTAGCCTGGATATATGGAGGTGGTTTCGGAAATGTGTTCTATATTTGTACGAAAAGTATTAAATGGTACCACATGTCGTATTAGGTGAAGAAATAGAGCTGAAATTTTATATAGATGCCACTGTTGGTATCTGGAATTGAGATATGTAGAGGGTTTTAGAAAAATGTACTATTGCATGAAAAGTACTAAACACTTCTAAATTTGGCATTGGATTAAAAAATAGAATATAAATATCTGAAACTTAATATAGATATCTCTGTTGGTGTTTGTGGTTAAGGGGCTTTGGAATTGTGTACCATAATTGTTCGAAAAGTACGAAGTGATACTAAATTGGGAATTGGGTGAAGGCATAGAGTTAGAATCCAGAAATTTGATGTTCAGGTCTCTGTTGGTATCTGGTATTGAGCTACGTGGGTGGTTTAGGAAATGTGTAGCATAATTGTACGAAAAGTAGTAAATAGTTCTATATTTTGTACAATTTGAACAGATAGAGCTTGAAGTCTGAAATTTGGTATTATGGTCGCTTTTCATATGTAGCCTGAACATATGGAAGTTGTTTGGGAAATGTGTACAATAATTGCACGAAATATGCTGAATGGTACTATATTTGGTAGTGGGTGAGGGAATATTAAAAAAATTCTGAAATTTGATATTTAGATTACCAATGGTATTTGTGTTTAAGATATAGAGGTGGCATTGGATTTGTGTACTATAATTGTTCGAAAAGTACTAAGTGGTACTAAATTAGGAATTGGTTAAAGGCATAGACTTGGTATTGAGGTCTAAGTTGGTATAATAATTGATAATTGTACAAAAAGTACTAAGTAGTACTATATTTAGTACAATTCGGTGTTGAGTGAATAGATAGTGATTGAAATCTGAAAATTGGTCGCTGTTCATGTGTAGCCTGGACATATGTAGGTGGTTTAGGAAATGTGACCCATACATGTACGAAAAGTACTAAATTTGGTATTGGGTGAACGGATAGGGCTGGAGTTCTCAAATTTAATATTGACGTCTCTGTTGGTATCTGGAATTTAGATAAAGAGGTGGTTTTGCAAATGCGTACTATAATTGTTCAAAAAGTACCGAATGATACCAAGTTTGGATCACTGTTAGTGTCTAGGATGAAGTGATGTAGATTGTATTGGGTGAAGGAAGGAATAGGAACTGAAAATCTGAAATTTTATAGTGAGGTCACTGTTGGTTTCTAGGGTTTACATGAGGAGACGTTGAAATTGTTTTGGGCAGAAAAACTGGATGTGGGTCCTTTTTACGAATTTCCTCCTCCGAAAACTTCAAAATGAAAGATTTTGAAGCTTTTTTGGTGTAAAAACTAAACATTTTCTTTCCGAAAAAGGAAAAACTTGAATTTAGGAACAAATTGTGGGCTAACTCGAATAAAGGCCTAACACGAACTATTGGAACGAATCGAAAATTTTAAGGTGGACTCTTCGCTGACATAGTAGCGGGCGCTTGCTAATTGTTTTATAATAATTTTATCAGAAATATTTTTTTTCTTAAAAATATTTTTTTTCATCTGAAAGTGGTGTTTCAAAATCAGATTTTATAAGGTTTTCAATTTTATACAAATATTTTACTAATTGTGATTTTTTTTAAATGTTTCTTTGAAGGAAGCTCAAATCCTTCTCCTCTCCAATCTACAAATCGTTCATTCTTCTTTGAATTAAAACCATTTAATTTTCATATCATTTCTTCCAATTCAATACCAATATTTTATTTTACATCTATAATATTAATTGTTTTACATATAATACTATTATTTTTATTTTGAATATTTCAATATTTTGTTGCAAGGTTGTTGGTCCATAACTCATGAAGGGAATTATCAATTTAGAATGAACTTGATGTCAATGGGAATTATTTGCTTTCCGATTGGGGGAACCATGATTGGCAAGCTTCCATTGCAATTTCACACATGGCGGTCACGGCCTTGGCGTTATCGTATTCTGAAATGGTATAAAGAAGAAGAATTGGATTACAATTTGCCTGCCTGAATTTTAGAATACCTCATTAATTATCTACTTACCCACTGAATTACGCTTGCCAAAAATGCTGCCATTGAAGGGTGGTTTACGGTAGGCAGCCTCGCTGGACTGCAACATGACCACGGCAACAATGAAGGCAATGACCAAGAGAGCAAAAGAGAAACGGATGGCAAACATTTTTAGATTTTCTTTGGTGCAAGAGGACACGATTTTCAAAGGATGAACGACGTTGATGAACTGATGCCAATCTGTGGTCAACACCGAGCTTTTATAGTGAAAATTTCCTTCTCCATAGCCAGAAGAAAGAAAGAAAGTATATGTGGAAGAATTGAGGAACCAATCTCCGGGGACCAGAGGCTAATTGAAAACTAATTTCTTATTATGATAGATAATAAACAGAGAATGAATTGGATTATGTTGCTGGTCAACTTTGCTGGTTTATTGAAAATCTAATAATATTTGATATGTGAAAGGATATAAATTATGGAATCTTCAAATCAAAATACTAATAAAGGCATGTAATGAAAATTTAAACAAATACTTAATAAAAATTGCAAGCAGTCTTTGTTCCTCCCTATACTCAGTTTAACTTTTCATATCCCATTCCAAAATTTTGGAAAATTCCTTCTCCCCAAATTCCAACATTTTCGCCTGTTCCAAGCAAATATTTTGTCTCTTCAGATTGTCAATGAGGAACAACTGCTTCTTATAGGCATTAAGTAAATCGGCTCTTTGTTTCTTTAAACCCTTGATTTGTTTCTCCTTTGCATCCAAATCCAAACGTGATTTCTCTTGCAATTCCTTTTCGGATTTTTTCATTTCACTCAGTGCAGTCCTTGAGCTTTCCAAATCTTCATTGCTGCGATAGAGTCGTTTCTCTAAATTCTTATTGTTTTGTGTTAGAATTTTAATTTCTCTCTTTGCCGTTTCTAGTTCCTTTTGCTGTTTCAGATGCTCTTTGCTTTGTTCCTTGTTGTTTTGGTTGGCCTGCTCAAGTTGCGCTTCAACTTTTGCCAATTGTTCTTTGAGGGCATTATTTTTACTGGTGGCCTGATCACGTTGTTTCTCCATTGCCTTGGCTTGTTCCAGGGCTCGTTCGAGTAGTTCCTTTTGTTTGCCCAGCTCTTCAGAGATGCGAGAGTGATCATCTTCCAGTATGGTTACCTTGGACTTTAAAAATCTAGAAAAGAAGGATTCAATTTTTTTAAAAAGTTTTGATAAAAAATTAAAATGTCCTTCGTTCTCAGAATTTGACAATTTGACTGACTGGAAATCAACGCCCAGAAGAAACGGCTAAAGCTAGAAACTTAAAATTTTGCAGTCTTGGTGCTTTGGCGTGTGATAAGGCTGGGAAATTCGTATTAAAAGGGTGCGAAAAGTGCAAAAATGTATTAAAAATGGACAAACGGGTTATGCTAGAATTTGGAATGAAAGTCACTGATCGAGTGTAGGATAGATGCAACCAATGATTTTTAGAAATTTTAACTTTAATGTTACGAAAAGTTCTAAAATGGTAATTTAGTACCAATCGTACCATTTGGTATTATCTGAAGGAATAGAGCTAAAATTCGGTACGAGAATCAAGGTTGGAAAGTACGTTTGATATATGAAAGTGATTTTGAAAATGTGCAAACTGTACTAAATTGTACTAAATTTGTGAACAGTTTGGTTTGGGGAGAACGGATGAAGTACCTAAAACGCACGAAAAGTACAAAAGAGTACTATATTTGGTAGAATTTGGAATTAGTTGAACAGATATGAAATTTTGAATTAGGGTCGTGATTCATGTGGTTTCGAAAAAATATTAAATGGTACTAAATTTGATATTGAGGGAAGGAATAGAGATAAAATTTTGAAATTTGATATAGACGACGCTGTTGGTGTCTGTTGTTAATATATGAAGGTAGTTTTGTAAATGTGTACTAAAATTATACGAAAAGTACTAAATTTGGTATTGGGTGAAAAATTAGAGCTAGAAATTAATATTGAGGTCTCTGTTGGTGTCTGGAATTGAGATATATAGGTTGTTTTGGAAATGTGTACAATAATTGTACGAAAAGTACTGACTGGTACTATATTTGGATTTAGGTAAAGGGATAAGAGATAAAATTTTGAAAATGATAAATAGATTTGTGATGGTATCTGTGTTTGAGAGTTGACGGTGTCAGGGAAATGTGTACGATAATTGTACGAAAAGTACTAAATGGTGGTGAATTGGGTATTGGGTGAAGGGATAAGGCTGGAATCCTCAAATTTCATATAAATATCAGTATTGGTTCTGTGGTTAAGATATGGAGATAATATTTTGGAAATGTGTACTACAATTGTATAAAAAGTACTAAATTTGCTATTGGGTAAAGAAGTAGTGTGGAAATCTTGAAATTTGATATGGATGTCACTTTTGTTTTTTTTTGTTAAGATATGGAGGTGATTTTAGATTTGTGTACAAAACTGTTCGCAAAGTACTTAATTGAACTAATTTTGGTACAATTTGGTATTTGGTGAACAGATTGAATTCTGAAATTTGGTATTAGGGTCGCTGTTCATGTGTAGCCCGGACATATGAAGGTTGTTTTGGAAATGTGTACTATAATTGTACGAATGGTTCTATATTTGGTATTGGGTGAAGCGATAGAGATAAAATTTAGAAGTTTTATATTTAGAATACTGATGGTATTTGTCTTTGACATTCAGCGGTGGATTGGAAATGCGTCCTATATGTGCACGAAAAGTACTAAATAGTTCTAAATTTTGTTTTGGGTTAAGGGAGGAGGCTGGAATCCTCAAATTTGATATTGAGGTATCTGTTGGTATATGGAATTGAGATATGGAGGTGGTTCTATCCAACTATAATTGTACGAGATGTACTAAATAGTACTAAATTTGGTATCGGTTGAAGGTGGAGCTGGAATCCTGAAATTTTATATAGATATCACTGTTGGTGTCTGTGGGTAAGATATGGAGGAGGTTTTGCCAATGTGTACTTTAATTGTACTAAATTTGGAAATGGGGGGAAATTACTGTTGGTATCTGAGCTTCAGATATGGACATTGTGAAGGTATAGAGCTGAAATTCTGAAATTAGATATGGATATCACTGTTGGTGTCTGTTGTTAAAAAAAGGAAGTGGTTTTGGAAATTCGTACTATGGACGTACGAAAAGTGCAAAATGCCACAAAATCTGCTGTTGGGTGTTGTGATAGAGATGGAATTCTGAAATTTGGTCTCGAAGTCAGTGTTAGTATCTAGGACGGATAAAAGGGGGTGGTTTGGACATGCGTAGTATAACTGTAGGAAAAGTATGGTTATAAATTTGCAATCGGGACTATGGATAAAGCTGGAATTCTGAAATTTGTTATTGAGGTCACTGTTGGTATATAGTTTTAAGAGAAGAAGGTGGATTATGATTTTGCGAAAAATACTAAATAGTACTAAATTTACCGTTGAGTGAATGGATGGAGTTGAAATTCTGAAATTTGATATTGAAGTCACTTTTGGTTTCTAGGGTTTAAATATGGAGAGAAGTTAAAATAAATTTTGATCAGAAAAATTGAGTATGGCTGCACTGTCCAATGTCTTTACTGAAATGGACGATTATGAGAATATTTTTGGTGTTAAAGGTAAGCGAATCTAAAATGTTAAGGTGGACTGGAGGTAGCGGGCTCTTGCTAGTAAGTGCGTTTGTAAGATGTAAAAGAAATGGCAAAAGAATTTTAGTTTTATTTAATTCTTTTGTTCCTCTTCTATTGAGCTTACGATCGTTACTTTGGTTAAAAAAAGTTTTTGGCATAGAAGTAATTTTTTTAATAACTCCTGGGGAGAATATTCCCATACAAAAACCCAGGGAATTGATGATGATTGGTGCCTCTTTCCGGTATTCCCTGTCTTACACCTTATAATCATTGCAATACTACTAAATAAAATTTCTTTTATGAAAACAACAATAAGGGAACTAATCCTAAATCTTTTTATACCCTCCACCATAGTATGGAGGGTATATTAAGTATGTCATTCCGTTTGTAACTCCTCGAAATATACATTTTAGACCCCGTAAAGAATATATATTCTTGATCAGCATATAATTCTATGTAGATTAAGTGATGTTCATCCGTCTGTGGGAATCACCCTAGCTTCCGAACGAAATGAAGTAGATTGATAAAATTTTGATAAATATATATTATTTTGCTAAGTATAAATTATTCACCGGAATTGTTTCATATTTGGTATTTTAGGTTTGAAATGGATACTGCAGCCTAAGACAGAAAATTGTCGGTTCAGGTCCACGTCTTCATATAGCCCCATATAACAGTACCTCCCGATATTCGGTAATTTGATGATTTTAGCTACATTATAGACCGATTTTTTTAAGTTTCGCATTTGAATATTGTAATGGCTTATGACAAAAGTTACCTATGCAGGTCCATGTCGTCGTATAGACCCTAATATAACAGCTACATTCGTTATTTTTAAGATTTTAACAGAATTTTTAACGGATTTTATTATTTTTGAAAATTGTCAAATTCGTTCCAAATGGTGAAGGGCATTCAAAGTTCGGCCCGAACTTACAGCTTTTTTAGTTGTTTCAACTACAAACTTAATACGGTATCTCAAACAAAATGCCAACCTTATTCTGAACTCTTCCAAAATAATGAAAACTTTTCTCTTTCATGTTGCCAACTTACTTGATCAATCCATCGGTGCTAACGTTCTTTTTCGAACCAATAGTGGCATTGCTTGCCTGGGACTGACGACCATTCGATTGCAAATCCTCCGGAGCAACAGATGAAAATGTGCAAACTGTACTAAATTGTACTAAATTTGTGAACAGTTTGGTTTGGGGAGAACGGATGAAGTACCTAAAACGCACGAAAAGTACAAAAGAGTACTATATTTGGTAGAATTTGGAATTAGTTGAACAGATATGAAATTTTGAATTAGGGTCGTGATTCATGTGGTTTCGAAAAAATATTAAATGGTACTAAATTTGATATTGAGGGAAGGAATAGAGATAAAATTTTGAAATTTGATATAGACGACGCTGTTGGTGTCTGTTGTTAATATATGAAGGTAGTTTTGTAAATGTGTACTAAAATTATACGAAAAGTACTAAATTTGGTATTGGGTGAAAAATTAGAGCTAGAAATTAATATTGAGGTCTCTGTTGGTGTCTGGAATTGAGATATATAGGTTGTTTTGGAAATGTGTACAATAATTGTACGAAAAGTACTGACTGGTACTATATTTGGATTTAGGTAAAGGGATAAGAGATAAAATTTTGAAAATGATAAATAGATTTGTGATGGTATCTGTGTTTGAGAGTTGACGGTGTCAGGGAAATGTGTACGATAATTGTACGAAAAGTACTAAATGGTGGTGAATTGGGTATTGGGTGAAGGGATAAGGCTGGAATCCTCAAATTTCATATAAATATCAGTATTGGTTCTGTGGTTAAGATATGGAGATAATATTTTGGAAATGTGTACTACAATTGTATAAAAAGTACTAAATTTGCTATTGGGTAAAGAAGTAGTGTGGAAATCTTGAAATTTGAAATGGATGTCACTTTTGTTTTTTTTTTTGTTAAGATATGGAGGTGATTTTAGATTTGTGTACAAAACTGTTCGCAAAGTACTTAATTGAACTAATTTTGGTACAATTTGGTATTTGGTGAACAGATTGAATTCTGAAATTTGGTATTAGGGTCGCTGTTCATGTGTAGCCCGGACATATGAAGGTTGTTTTGGAAATGTGTACTATAATTGTACGAATGGTTCTATATTTGGTATTGGGTGAAGCGATAGAGATAAAATTTAGAAGTTTTATATTTAGAATACTGATGGTATTTGTCTTTGACATTCAGCGGTGGATTGGAAATGCGTCCTATATGTGCACGAAAAGTACTAAATAGTTCTAAATTTTGTTTTGGGTTAAGGGAGGAGGCTGGAATCCTCAAATTTGATATTGAGGTATCTGTTGGTATATGGAATTGAGATATGGAGGTGGTTCTATCCAACTATAATTGTACGAGATGTACTAAATAGTACTAAATTTGGTATCGGTTGAAGGTGGAGCTGGAATCCTGAAATTTTATATAGATATCACTGTTGGTGTCTGTGGGTAAGATATGGAGGAGGTTTTGCCAATGTGTACTTTAATTGTACTAAATTTGGAAATGGGGGGAAATTACTGTTGGTATCTGAGCTTCAGATATGGACATTGTGAAGGTATAGAGCTGAAATTCTGAAATTAGATATGGATATCACTGTTGGTGTCTGTTGTTAAAAAAAGGAAGTGGTTTTGGAAATTCGTACTATGGACGTACGAAAAGTGCAAAATGCCACAAAATCTGCTGTTGGGTGTTGTGATAGAGATGGAATTCTGAAATTTGGTCTCGAAGTCAGTGTTAGTATCTAGGACGGATAAAAGGGGGTGGTTTGGACATGCGTAGTATAACTGTAGGAAAAGTATGGTTATAAATTTGCAATCGGGACTATGGATAAAGCTGGAATTCTGAAATTTGTTATTGAGGTCACTGTTGGTATATAGTTTTAAGAGAAGAAGGTGGATTATGATTTTGCGAAAAATACTAAATAGTACTAAATTTACCGTTGAGTGAATGGATGGAGTTGAAATTCTGAAATTTGATATTGAAGTCACTTTTGGTTTCTAGGGTTTAAATATGGAGAGAAGTTAAAATAAATTTTGATCAGAAAAATTGAGTATGGCTGCACTGTCCAATGTCTTTACTGAAATGGACGATTATGAGAATATTTTTGGTGTTAAAGGTAAGCGAATCTAAAATGTTAAGGTGGACTGGAGGTAGCGGGCTCTTGCTAGTAAGTGCGTTTGTAAGATGTAAAAGAAATGGCAAAAGAATTTTAGTTTTATTTAATTCTTTTGTTCCTCTTCTATTGAGCTTACGATCGTTACTTTGGTTAAAAAAAGTTTTTGGCATAGAAGTAATTTTTTTAATAACTCCTGGGGAGAATATTCCCATACAAAAACCCAGGGAATTGATGATGATTGGTGCCTCTTTCCGGTATTCCCTGTCTTACACCTTATAATCATTGCAATACTACTAAATAAAATTTCTTTTATGAAAACAACAATAAGGGAACTAATCCTAAATCTTTTTATACCCTCCACCATAGTATGGAGGGTATATTAAGTATGTCATTCCGTTTGTAACTCCTCGAAATATACATTTTAGACCCCGTAAAGAATATATATTCTTGATCAGCATATAATTCTATGTAGATTAAGTGATGTTCATCCGTCTGTGGGAATCACCCTAGCTTCCGAACGAAATGAAGTAGATTGATAAAATTTTGATAAATATATATTATTTTGCTAAGTATAAATTATTCACCGGAATTGTTTCATATTTGGTATTTTAGGTTTGAAATGGATACTGCAGCCTAAGACAGAAAATTGTCGGTTCAGGTCCACGTCTTCATATAGCCCCATATAACAGTACCTCCCGATATTCGGTAATTTGATGATTTTAGCTACATTATAGACCGATTTTTTTAAGTTTCGCATTTGAATATTGTAATGGCTTATGACAAAAGTTACCTATGCAGGTCCATGTCGTCGTATAGACCCTAATATAACAGCTACATTCGTTATTTTTAAGATTTTAACAGAATTTTTAACGGATTTTATTATTTTTGAAAATTGTCAAATTCGTTCCAAATGGTGAAGGGCATTCAAAGTTCGGCCCGAACTTACAGCTTTTTTAGTTGTTTCAACTACAAACTTAATACGGTATCTCAAACAAAATGCCAACCTTATTCTGAACTCTTCCAAAATAATGAAAACTTTTCTCTTTCATGTTGCCAACTTACTTGATCAATCCATCGGTGCTAACGTTCTTTTTCGAACCAATAGTGGCATTGCTTGCCTGGGACTGACGACCATTCGATTGCAAATCCTCCGGAGCAACAGATGACACGCTGCCATTCATTTGTGCCGACTCCATTAAAGTTTGACTTCTTATGGCGGAGCATTCATCCTTCAACAAAACCTCCAAAGAAGGACTTTTAACAAATTTCGGATTGCGATATTTGATTGTAAATGTCGAAGTATTGGTTTGTGGTGCTCTGCCATTCGCAAAACGATTTTGATTTGAAGCACGAAATGTCTCATTACCTCTTGCCGTGGTGTTACTTGTGGCAGCGGGAGGTGGATATTTACGAATGTGAGATTTGATAACACTGGAATGTTGTGCCAACGATGATGATGGAATTGCAGGCGGTGGTGTGGGTGTTGGTGCTGTAGTCGTTATTCTTGGTGATTGATTGTCCGGTTCATTGGCCTGGCGGTTACCCTGACGATAGGTGTCTCTACCCATTGTCATATGGAAACGTTCCTTGGGATTTTGCATAAACTGACGATTGCAACCCTCCATCATTTCCGGGGAGGGACCATCACCCGATCCACGTTTCCTCAAAAAGGTGCTTTGACCTTTGGACTTTTGATAGGTGTTGAAACGAGAATGATTTGCATTACCCGAATTCACTCGATTCGCATTCATTGTATTCGCCTGATGTTCCATGGCATTTGAGGCCATATAATTCAATTGTTCATTTAATTTTAAAAATTCTTTTTCTTTGGATAATAGTTCTGCCATTATGAAAAATTTAACAAAATTTTGGATTTTTTTAATATGAAAATATTAACAAAAAATTAAACTATTTTGCAATAATTTATTTACACAAAATTTGTTTGAAACACACATAAATAAATTAAATTTCAAATTTGATTTTATTTTGATTGACAATTCACCCTTGGCTATCCTGACAACTAACACTGTGTTGCCTTTGTTATTTGATTTAAATTCTCCAGGGAACTAAAGTTGTTGCTATTTCCTTATTGACTAGTAACCGCCAAAACAACTTACCCAGTCATTTCGGAATGCAAGGAATTCCCTGTTACCCATGGAGATTTTCTCAATATTATTATTTATTGGTTGTTTGGCCGGCTCCAGCAGGAATGGGGTGCATTTTTTTGTAAGGACAACAAAACAACGACAAGGGAATTCAATCGATGGAATAGGGGAGGAGTGGCAAATGGATTGTAATGATATGTTTTGGTCTTCACAGAAAGAAGACCGCTTGGTATTCTGTGGAAGAAGACAACTTGGTCTCCTATGGAAGAACAACACTTCGTGTTCTATGGTAGAAGACTACTTGCTTTAGTGGGAAGAACACTACTTGGATTTGCGTGGAAGAAGACCACTGGGTCTTCTATGGAAGAACAACACTTCGTCTTCTATGGAAGAAGAAGACTTATTGCTCTTCTATGGAAGGAGACCACTTCGTCTTCTATGGAAGAAGACCACTTATTGCTCTTCTATGGAAGAAGGTCACTTCGTCTTCTATGGAAGAATACCATTTCATCTTCTATGGAAGGAGACCCCTTCGTCTTCTATGGAAGAAGAAGACTTATTGCTCTTCTATGGAAGAAGACCACTTGGTCCTCTGTGGAAGAGGACCATTTAGTCTTCAATGGAAGAAGACCACTTGCTCTTCTATGGAAGAAGGTACCACTTGCTCTTCTATGGAAGAAGGTACCACTTGCTCTTCTATGGAAGAAGACCAGTTGCTCTTCTATCGAAGAAGACCATTTGCTCTTCTATCGAAGAAGACCACTTCGTCTTCTATGGAAGAAAAAGACTTATTGCTCTTCTATGGATGAAGGCCACTTTAGTCTTCAATGGAAGAAGACCACTTGCTCTTTCATGGAAGAAGGTACCACTTGCTCTTCTATGGAAGAAGGTACCACTTGCTTTTCTATGGAAGAAGGTACCACTTGTTCTGCTATGGAAGAAGGTACCACTTGCTCTTCTATGGAAGAAGAACAGTTGGGCTTCTATGGAAGAAGACCACTTGCCGTTCTATGGAAGAAGACCACTTGCTCTTCTGCGGAAGAAGACCACTTGCTCTTCTGCGGAAGAAGACCACTTGCTCTTCTGCGGAAGAAGACCACTTGCTCTTCTATGGTAGAAGGTACCACTTGTTTTTCTATGCTCTTCTGCGGAAGAAGACCACTTGCTCTTCTGCGGAAGAAGACCACTTGCTCTTCTGCGGAAGAAGACCACTTGCTCTTCTGCGGAAGAAGACCACTTGCTCTTCTGCGGAAGAAGACCACTTGCTCTTCTGCGGAAGAAGACCACTTGCTCTTCTATGGAAGAAGACCAGTTGGTCTTCTATGGAAGAAGACCAGTTGGTCTTCTATGGAAGAAGATTAGTTGGTCTTCTATGGAAGAAGACCAGTTGGTCTTCTATGGAAGAAGACCAGTTGGTCTTCTATGGAAGAAGACCAGTTGGTCTTCTATGGAAGAAGACCAGTTGGTCTTCTATGGAAGAAGACCAGTTGGTCTTCTATGGAAGAAGACCAGTTGGTCTTCTATGGAAGAAGACCAGTTGGTCTTCTATGGAAGAAGACCAGTTGGTCTTCATGAGAGACCAGTTGGTCTTCTATGGAAGAAGACCACTTGGTCTTCTATGGAAGAAGACCACTTGGTCTTCTATGGAAGAAGACCACTTGGTCTTCTATGGAAGAAGACCACTTGGTCTTCTATGGAAGAAGTCTACTTGCTCTTCTATGAAACAATACCCCTTTTTCTTCTGTTTTTGTTCTCTTCGGTAGAAAGGTCTCTGAAGTCTTCGTTAGAAGTTGACCTTGTGCTCTTCAGTAATAGTGAAGAAGAGAAATAAACTAACAAAGGTTATTGGACTCTCTACACCTCTTTTCCACCTGACATCAACGATTAATGCTCTATCCCATCAAAAAGAACAAATATACCATAAATATCCAACTCAACATTAATAATTAAATGTCATTAACTTAACTTTTCTCCAAAAAGTAAAAAAATCTTTACAACAAAATCCGCTACAGTTGGTGGGTGGATGGATAGTTGTGGATGTCTGACATCGATCAAATGTTTTGTTCAATAACGTATAGATTTCAAGTAAATGTGCCAATCATGTTTGAAGAATGTTATATTTGGCTAAGCTCACCAAAAAATGATTACATAGCTATAAAAACACACAAAAATCACTTGGCCGTCTGTCTCAATGACACACGCATTTAGAATATTTTTTGTTGGTGGTTACCTACGAAAAGAAGGGGAAATCATAAATAATAAAAAATACTTAAATGTGTGATTTAAAGCTTGAATGGATTTGGGTTCTATGTATATATGTTTGTAGGTGCGTGTATATCTGTGACTTTGATTAAGAGCTAAATTAAAAATATGTGTCGAATTCAGAATTCATTTGGTCAACGGCAAATGTGTTTTACGTCATTTTTTTATTTTTAAGAAGTTAAAATAGTCGATTGAATTGTGTTTAATATGCCGTTACTTTTCTGTTAGCAGTGGATTGAAAAAAATTATGTTTTAATATTTTATTTACCAAAATGGATTTAAAGGGGAAGTATGGCCTTTTAACAGTTGTTCAGTAATCGATTTAATGATCAATAATCGGCGTTACTTGGAACATATAGGGGAAAAAGTTACATAGAGAGTAAATGAGACATTGACATTTTTGAGCTATGATTAAGGTTATATAACGTTTCAACTTTGACGGAGAGATGGCGCTGGGAATATAAATATATCTGTAGCCGAATTCTACATATATTTTATACCCTCCACCTTGAAAAGGAGAGTATATTCAATTTGTAACATCCTTAAATATTCGTCGTAGACCCCATAAAGTATATATATTCAATTCTATTTCGATTTAGCGATGTCCGTCTGTCTGTCTGTCAAAATCGCTATACAGCCCACATTATTTGCAGAATTTGTATTGTGTCTAGGATGGTTGGTATTGAAAATGAGATATATTGGTCCACGTTGGTCCCATATAACTGTACCTCCCGATATTCGGCATTTTGATGATTTTTGTCACATTTTTTTCACGGATTTGTCAGAAAATTGGTGTTTGTTGGTCATAATGGGTATAATGATGTCCGTCTGTCTGTTGAAGTCATGATACAGCCTACATTATTTGACGTAGAGCTTCAACATTTGGCAGAACAATTTGAATTTTGCCTAGTGTTTTGTGTCTTGTGTGAAATATATCGGTCCACTGTTTGGTATAGCCGCCATGTAACGGTACCTCCCAATATTCGACATTTTTATGATTTTTGCTATATTTTTTCAAGGAATTGCCTAAAACTCCTGTGGCGAAACATTGTATGTATAGGTACATGTTTTCGTATAGCCCTCATAAGCCGGTACCTCTCGATATTCGGCATTTTGATGATTTTTGCCACATTTTTTCACGGATTTGTCTGAAAATTGGTATTTGTTGGTCATAATGGTTTCTAGCTCCGGTGGCGAAACATTGCATGTATAGGTCCGCGTTTTGGCATAGCCCCCATATAACGGTATCTCCCGATATTCGGCAATTTGTATTTGTTGTTCATAATAGATTCTGGCTGCGGTGGCGAAACATTGTATGTAAATGTTCACTTTTTTGTATAGCCCCATATGGGGGTATCTCCCAATATTCGATATTTTGATAATATTTTCCACATTTTTCCACGAATATGTCTAAAATTTGGTATTTGTGGGTCATAATGGGTTCTAATGTTTCATTTACCCTAAGGTGGAGGGTATTAAAAGTTCGGCCCGGCCGAACTTAATGATTTTTTTACTTGTTTTCTGTGACTTACCAGCTCCAAATCTAGTCTAGTCAGCGATTTGTCTTTTTTTTTATAAAATTTTTTAAATTGAAATGTTCATATATCGTACTAAACTTTCAGACTTTCAAGATTTTATATATATATGTTTCAAGTTTTTCCTTTTCTGGTGAGTGACTTTAATATCAAATCTGAGCTCTATCCATTCACCCAATGCCAAATATAGTAACATTTAGTACGCATATCGAAAGTAATTTATATGTCTCCATACTAGACACTAACAGTGATCCCCAATTAGTAACATTTGGTACAATTTCCAAAACCATCGCCAGATCTCAGCACCAGATACTAACAGAGACCTCAATATCAAATTTCGGGATTCAAGCTCTATCCATTCACTCAACGGCAATTTTAGTACACTATAGTACTTTTTGTACAATCATAGTACGCATTCCTAAATCCACCTCCCTCCCCACAGTGGCCTTTATATTAAAATTCAGAATTCCAGCTCCATTCTAAGACCCAATCCCAAATTTATTACCATAAATTTCGTACAGTTATACTACGCATATCTAAATCCAATTCCTTTTCCTCTCTCTAGACACCAATAATAATCTCGATACCAAATTTCGGGATTCCAGCTCTATCCCTTCAACCAATATCAAATTGCTAGATTTCAGCACTATCCCTTCACCCACTTAGTATCATTTACCATTTTTTGTATAATTTTAGTACACATTTTTAAAACCACTTTTATGATTCAAAACCTAATTCCAGATACTAACAGAGACGTCGATATTAAATTCCAGTGCTATTCTTTCACTTAATACCAAATGTAGTACTATTTAGCACTTTTCTTACAATTCTAGTACACATTTCCAAAACAACCTCCATATCTTGACTACAGACACCAATAGCGTCGTCCATATCAAATTTCAGAATTTTACTTGTATTTCTTCACTCAATACCAAATTTAGTAAAATTTAGTACTTTTTCTACAATTATAGTACATATTTCCAAAACTACCTCCATATCTTAATTTCATATACAAACAGAAAACTCAATATCAAATTAGAGGACTCCAGATCCCTCCCTTCCTCCAATACA